TTGGTAATAAAGAGGGATTACAAACTTATTTTTGAGGGGCTGGAGAGATGGATCACTGGTTAAGAGCGTTGACTGTTCTTGCAGAGGACCTGGGTTCGATTCCCAGCACCCACATGGTGGCTAACAACCATCCGTAACTCCAGTTCCTGGAGAATCTGATGCCTTCTTCTGACCTCCGAGGCTATTGCATGACATGGGTGCACTTATACACATGCAAGCGATACATTCATACACATAAAATAAAAATAATAATAAATAAAATATTAAAAATACTTTTTGAGATAGATCAAGCTGGCTTTAAACTTACTATGTAGCCCATGCTGGTCTTGAACTTAAGATCCTTATGTCTTAGCCTGCCCAGTTGCTAGGGTTACAGATGTGTGCCACTATGTCCAGCAAAGAGAGATCTTTTTTATTTTAATTGTGTGTGGTAGGGATCTGTGCTCAGTGTTGGTGTCTATGGAAGTCAGAGGCTTTGGACCCCCCCCAGAGTTGGAGTTATAGGCGGTTCTGAGGCACCTTATGTGAGTGGTGGGAGCCAAATTTGGATCTTTTGGAAGAGTAGTACACACTCAACTGCTGAACCTTCTCTCCAGCTCCCAGAAATGATTATTTTAAATCAAGTTTGAACTAATTTGCTGAATACCACTGGCTCACATTGGTTGGGAAGAATTTAGGTTCATACACCCACATTTTTTCCCCCCCCCCCCCCCCCCCCCCCCCCGGCCTCCTGCTTTGCCATGCCTGGGATTAAACCTAGGGCCTTAAGCACAATAAGGCGAGTGCTCTACTGCTGAGCTACAGCCCTAGCCATGGACCTCTCCAATTTGTGTACTGTCACAAATTCATATTAGGTAGGTGCTGGCTTCCTTGTTTTGTATCTAAAACAGTGCTTCCTGCTCAATTTAATATAGTATAGGGTGTCATAATACAAATCTCTCTCTCACTTTCTCTTTAGTCTTTTTGAGACAGGATCCCCTTATAGCCCCAGCTGGCCTGGAACTCAATATGTAGACCCGGCTTGTCTGGAACTCAGAGATCCTCCTGCCTCGGCCTCCTGAGTGCTGGGATTAAAGGCATGCGCTGCCACGCCCATCAGTAATGCAAATTTCTTAAACACAGTTAAGAAAACCCTATCTTCAGAGACAAGTGTCCAAAGATGAAAAAAACTGAGGCACAGTGCTTGTAAGACTAATTGGGTGGTGAGTCAAGGATGGAATCAGAAAGTTTCATGGATTCTCAAATTGTCATAGCTAATGCACATGCTATGCTCCTGGTTCCTGACTTGGTCTAGATCACCTCATATCAGCCTTTGGAGAATATATGCAATCTTTTTTTTTTTTTTTTAATGGCAGAATTGTGGCTTAATAGTTATTAAGTAATTTGTCCAGGAGTTTTGGATATCACAGTTGAGAGTCTCTGCTCTCAAAATGCACAGGACCTCAGATGTTTCCCATTAGCAATTCCCATCACTTTTGCTAGCCAGAGAATCTGAGTGCTTGAGGATAAAGGCTGAACTGCTTTGCTAAACTTGACCTGGGAAAGTGGAACCTGATGGTGTCAGCAACATGTATGTTAGTCATAACCTGACTTAGATAACCTGCTTGAAAGTTTGAAAATATTAAAAGCAACATTTATAACTATTCTACTCTGGTTGAGAGAAGCCAGAAAAGCCTTTGCCTTTGCAGAATCCATGTGGTCAGAGAAGCTAGAGGATTGGGGTGGGGGGACACTAAGCAGAAGTAGCAAGCCTATGAAGCAGACAGCTCTATTGATTTATGCTGTGAGCTGCTTTCTGGAGCAAAGAATTGAAGTCCATTATGCCAAGTGCATAGCATACAAATCCCTTCGAAAAGCAGTTTAGATGCCATCTAATCCCAAATAATTTAAAAACGATTTTGAAGTGCTGAGAATTCTAAAATGCCCCAAGCAATTTGTCTCTTAGACTAGAACAGTGAAATGGCTAGAAAAATAACATTTTATTCATATCTTCCTCTTAAGCTGTACTTTAGATAAGTACAAATCAGTGGGCTAGGGTATATCCCTAGGATAGTCTGAAACTCAAACCAAAAGTGAGATATGAAAGAGACCTTAGGGGCACTTATCAGGTGCCACCGTTAATTTCCTCCCTTAAAAATATGCCACATATTCAAACCCCATCACAGCAAATAAATAAAGAAAAAATATGCCCCAATTTCAGGCTTTTAGAAAAGTTAAAAGAGTAAAAGAATCCTCATAAACCTTTTATCAGATTTTCCATATGTTAAATTTGACTGTGTTTTCGTCTTCATTTTTTTTCTCTGGTAGATAAATATAATTTTGCCAGGTACCACCAACAAGGGGGGGTTGTGAGTTTGTTTAGAAAGGTTGTATGCCACACGGAAATCCAGGCTAGGGAGATGGCCTCAAGCAGGAGAAATGGTGTGGAAAGGGTTCAAATGATAGCTCGGCAATTTCTAATCCTTTTGGGTTTGTAGCACCCTGTGGTTCCTCTTTTTGTAATTAAAATAAATTTATTTTGAATAGAAACTATTCCTTGAGATGAGTGAAAACTCTCAAATTGAATAATTACTGGGTTAAGAGGCTGTGTTGTCATATATATATATGTAAAATGGTATGAGAGTGAGGGAAATAAAAGTTGGAGTAAAACAGAGACTGGAGATAGCATTAACATAAAATAGGATCCAGAGCCCCTGAAAAGTAAACATTTGATCATTAGCATAGAGACAGTTGACCTGAAGAAGATGGCACGAGACTCAGGAAAGCAGCTAATCTGAGGAACAGAAGAATTTAGAGGTCCTCCGAGATGGAAAATGAGACTTTTACAATAGGACAGCAGAAAAGTGAGAGTTTATATAAATTATCATGTTCCTTTCATTTGTGGTTATAAAGTTATATTTCTGTACCTGTAAAGCTTTTCTGCGTGCTTTTCTGCATGTCTTGAATCTAAGTTTAGCATCAGTTTGTAGGTCTTTGGTCTTTTTGAGACAGGGTCTCCCTGTAGCCACAGCTGTCCTGGAACTCTCTGTGTAGACCAGGCTGGCCTTGAACTCACAGAGATCCACCTGCCTCTGCCTCCCAAGTGCTGGGATTAAAAGCGTGTGCCACCATGCCCGGCCTTGATATTCATAATTTGCTGAAATTTTGATTAAGATGATAATAATGGACAGGTATTGGTCTTTTTGAGACAGGGTCTCCCTGTAGCCACAGCTGTCCTGGAACTCTCTGTGTAGACCAGGCTGGCCTTGAACTCACAGAGATCCACCTGCCTCTGCCTCCCAAGTGCTGGGATTAAAAGCGTGTGCCACCATGCCCGGCCTTGATATTCATAATTTGCTGAAATTTTGATTAAGATGATAATAATGGACAGGTATAGTGGCTCACACCTTTAATCCCAGAACTCAGAAAGCAGAGGCAGTTCAAGGATAACCTGGTCTACATAGCAAGTTACAGACCAGCCAGGGCTACATAGTAATGCCCTGTCTCAAAAGACATTGTGAATCTGGAGATCAGTTTGGAAGAACCGACATGTTAAGAGTATTGAGTCTTTCTATCCATAAACATGCAGTAGCCCCTTACATATTAAGTCGGGGCCTAGGTTAAGTACAAGAGATTTATTTAAATGTACAGCATGGTGACTACAGTTAATGAGAATATATAGTATTGTTTAAAATACTGAGAGTCGCTGAGTATGGTGACTCATGCCTTTAATCTGAGCACTCAAGGAGGCAGAGGCAGGCGGATCTCTGTGAGTTCAAGGCCAACCTGGTCTACATTGGGAGTTCCAGGCCAGAGTGAGGCTACAGGGAGACCCTGTCTCAAAAAGACAAAAATAATAATACTGACAGTGAAAAATGTTTTCACCCTCAGAATGATAACTTTGTGAGATAAATGCATATTTTATTTAATTCATTTATTTTTTGGTCTTTTTGAGACTGTGGATGGTGCCAGCTGTAACACCAAGAACTCTATCCACTAAGCTGTAACTCTTAGTTTGAGGAGCAACAGCCAAATTAGCATAATTTTTTTTCCCTCTTCACAGCTTCAGAAATACTGATTCGGTTTTGCTATAGATCTTTGAAACTTCCAAATAGAATTTTTTCCTTTTCTTTTTTTTTTTTTTTTAACATTTTTTATTTTATTTTATTTTTTCGCCTGTGATGTTTCATATAGCAAAAATGCACTAATGGGTAAAAGATGCTATTTTTATTTTTTGTGTATGCGTGTATTACCTGCATGTATGTAAGTGACCAGTCTGGTGCAGTGCCCATGGAAGTCAGAAGAGGGTCACAGATCCCCTGAAACTGGAGTTAAGGATGGTTGTTAGCTGCTTTGTGAGTGCTGGGAATCAAATCTTGGGCTTCTGTGAGAACAGAAGTGTTCTTAAGCTCCCCTCCTTTCTTTTACATATTCATTCTTGTATATAATATACTTTGATCATATTCAACCTACCCATTACCCTCTAGCCTTCCTCCCTCATATAGATCTTGTGCATAGTTTGTTAAGATTTATACTGGAATATTTCATTTGGGAGATGCTAATATAAATGGTATATTTTATTCTGAATTCGACTTGTTCATTGTTAGTATATGGGAAAATACTGATTTTTTTTTTTAATGTATTCACCTTGTGTTCTGCAACCATGCTATAATTGTATTATATCCAGGAGTTTTGGGTTTATTTTATTATTATTATTATTATTATTTTGGTCTTTTTGAGACAGGGTCTCCCTGTAGCTCCAGCTAGCCTGCCTCTGCCTCCCTCGTGCTGGGATTAAAGGCATGAACCACCACGCCTGGCTAATTGTATGAATTTTGAGTTCCAATATAATATTGAAATGTTGTGAGAGGAGATATCCTTGTCTTGTTCTTGATTTTAATGGGAAAGCTTCTAGTTTTTTATTCTGAAATATAATGGCTATGTGCATTTTTATGGACGCTCTTTATCAAATTCAGGAAATTCCCCTTCATTTCCTAATTTGCATTTTTTTTCCTTTTAAGGTGGAATAATATGTGGTCTGTGTGTACCATGTTTTGTTTCCCATTCACCCATTGATGGACACTTGGATAGCTTCCACCTTCTGGCTATTGTGAATAATGCTACTATGAACATGGGAGTACACATATCTCTTTGAGGCCCTGCTTTCAATTCTTCTGGGTAAGTACCAGAAGTAGAATTGCCAGATCATGTGGAAGTTCTATTTAATTTTTTTTTTTTAAGGAATCAGTAAACAGAATTTCATATACAAGGATGTTCCCTGCACTAATGTTTATAACAGCAAAAATTTGGAAGCAGCCTTGCTTCATCAGTAGGTGATTGGTTACATAAATTGCAGCACATCTATACAATAAAGCATTCTATAGCTATTTAAAAGGGATATGGTAGATTTGTATGTTTTAGCATGTGAAAATGTTCAAGTATATTGTAAAATGAGAAAGCAAACATAATGTGTCATATAAAACTTTATTTTAAATCTATATATGTTTGCTTCAATTTTTTTTCAAGAATAATGAACTTATGGAAAAGGGGAGGAGATTATGATAAGAGAGTAAGCTTTGACTGTTTTATAAAGTACTGTATCATTTCAGGGCTTACAAGAAGCACAGTTTTATAAAGAGAAAAACAAAATTGAATTATTGTATTGGGGAGATTTTCGCCATTTGTCTTTGTAAAACAAAGAT